ACAAATGAAATAACTTTTGTTCTGATCAATATTTTTTATTTTTTTCCCCTTATCATTAATTTACTTGTCCGTAACACGTATAATGTAACATTTTAATTTTTTTTAATGCTGAAAATAAAAATTTTAAATCTTTTTTAAATTATTTTTGAAAATTTCAATGTAGCCAATTTGTAAATAAAGTTTTTAGGAAACTAAGAAGTTTTTTCATGATTTACACAAAATATTATTATTAACAATTCAAAGATATGAAAACGTGATTTATAAATGTTTAAATTTTTGTAAACTCTACATTAAAGTTAGTGTTCGTGTATAATAATAATCTTTCTTTTTAAATTAATATTATCTGTTCCTACTTTTTAATTTACATTATTATTGGCACTCTGTGATCATTGATGTTCAAATTACCAGTACAAGCGCTGTGACGACACAGATAAATTGGGAAATAAACTAAACAAAATTCTCAATTAAGTAGTTACAAGTTTTTTAATACTTCTATTGCCTACATACTCGTATTCGTAAGTATATTTATTCTGAATCCTAAATACAAAGTATAATATACTGTTAGAATTTATTTAATTTCAACTTTCGAGTACATTAATTACATTTTGATAAAATATGATTTATCCCTTATATTTATGACCTTGTCACGAAAACATAATGTCTTATTTTTTCTATTTACGTTTTATTAACTATTGCCATTTTTTAGATGACTGTACCTACTGTCTGCATAATATCTTCCCATCTTGGTACAAATTACGACATAAGGAAATACATTTAAATCATTTCATACTTCATTGTTATTTTTTAAAGTATACTTTTTTCATGCATTCATTGTAAGCTAGAAATCATTAAATAAACACATTACGCACACAATTTTTTAACATCAATTTAACACTCTTTAGGTACGAATATAATTTCAAAATAAATAAACCTCAATACACAGGTGTACTATGATCCCGGACCCAAGGATTTCATAATGACGCAGCTGGATGACTTTGTTCCCTCAATGTCGCATTAATATTCATCATTTGTGTGATGAATATTAGCACTCGTTCACACATACAAACACATCAATACATAAATCTATTGTCCGGATGTAATTAATTGGGTTGTTAATTGTTTTTACCTTAAACAAAAAACTGGGAAGTACTGAATGAACAATATAATCTGGCGATATGATCAAATTGTAGAGCGTTCAAATTTTATGTGTTGTTACGGTTGGATTAATATGATGAAAAACTTCACGATCATAATTAAAACACAGCTGAATGAATATAATGTTAACAGATCTAATTAGTAATATTATAATACGAATAATCTAAATTATGCGATAAAATTGTATTACATTCATTATATTATGTATAACATACGTGTAGCTAACTCGTATTCAATACTCAATATTTGTTTTAACCAATTAACTTTTATCAGAGTAATAACTAATAACAAAATTAGTAAGAATCTTAGATAGTAATTGTATATTATAATAAATAATACACTTCTTTATGATATCAATAATGAAATTGTTTATCTATACATGATACATCATTAATTCTATTGATGTAAACCTTTTTTGATTGGTATTGATTTAGTGGTTGGTTTTTTATGCGAGAGAGGTTTTTGTTTTATACTTGATTTATTTAAAACAAAATCAACCCTACAGTTTTTATTTGATACTGTATTTAAAGACTTATTCCGGGCTAATTCTTAATTATATATTATATTCAAATATTCGCAAGTCCTATTGAGACATTTATTCTTAAAGCCTGAACTACAATAGTTAATAAGTGGGAAATAACTAAAATAATAGTTGATTCTAGGTATAAATTGGCAAGGTTTTTCGTAATATGTATACATAATATCTAAATTTATTTTTATTTAAATAATTTTAGACGAACTTTGAAAAATAAGAAAAATCAATTTCATTAGAATATAATGTATGTGTAGGATAAAATTTCAAATTATATTATAATATTATGATGAGGCTTAAAATCAAATTGTACGTGTCATAGAACCAATAGCTATTATTTTTTTTGTAGGTACAGTCTAAAATAATGAAAATAAATTTCAATTATTTTAACAATAAGAATATGATGTGTAAGTACTTAGTACATACAACGGCTACAACTATAGTCTATAGTCGTCTGAGTGCATTATAATAATATAAATATATAATCATAATGGGACTGGTATTACTGATATTTATAGTTAAGCCAATTATATTAAATTGTATATAATATAAATTAAACATATTATGAATTTAACCATTTGTATAAGCTCAAGATGGACTCTTGAACTTTTGATTATAAGATAATTAGATAAAACAAGATTACCTGTTGCTCAGATTTTAGGCCCTAGAAATCTAGGCGTACTACCACCTATAAGCGCGTAATGCGTATACACTAGGCTACCGTAGTCAGAATATCAGATGATAGTGAGCTGGAAGTCGGAAATAAACCTACGGAACATTCAAATATAGTATTATTTGTTTAATTATAAGTCCATCAAAACACGGTAAAATGCTTTGTGCGATAACTAATAAGTAACTCATAATTTATGGTACAGACTTGGACAGTTTGGAAATTAGTTATTTCAGAACTTTTAGACATTTCATAATGTTTTGACTCAAACTCAAACATGAATGTGTAATATTACATTAATTATTTACAAGCTTGTAACAATCGTCGTCTTTTTTTTTTTTTGGTTAGATTATAGAGTTTAAACGATTAAATCTACTAACCTCCCAAAAGCGTATCTACGATACGATTAGTAACAACTAATCAATAAAATCCCATGACTTGCAAATATATTTTTGTATACATTTACCACAGCAAGTTTTTTTTATAGAATATTATTAATATTATCGACTTTATTCAGTTTATTCCATAATATGACAATGTTCAGTATGATCAATTTACAATTAAATGAACAAACGACACAAGAAAAGATAACGAATCTGGGAATCGATAAAAATAATTGAAACTTTGTATGAAAATATATTATAGTTGAAATCAAAATGATTTTTTCCTCAGAAACAATAATACATCACATATTATAATTCAAAGAATTGATAAATTCATCCCTATAATATAGTATATTATAGTAGTATACACGTACAGTAATAGTGTCTTGTATATCACGTAGTACAGCAATGACCAGTTTACAAAACTATTTATTATCGCTTATTTGGTATTTAATTGAACCAAAATGTTTAACTTATTAAGTCGCTTTACAAAGATAACTAATATTATTTAATTTTACAGTTATATTATATCAGTGAAAACTATCTACAATAAAGACAACATTTATACAAAATTTAAAATACTAACATACGTAATATTTTATAGTGTGCACGATAAGTTATAAATTTGTTATATTATCATCTAAATGAATATTTTAATAATTTAAGAACTTGATAATATATAATTATTATAATTGCATAAGTATACAGATAAAAAGATGCAACAAATCCTGAAGAAAACGAAGATTTGAATTTTAAACAAAAAAATCTCTGATTGCACGTGATTGAAATCAATAAAATTGGTATAATTATGATATAGCAACTATATTGAAATTATTCATAAAAACCTATTAAACAAATTAATAACTCAGAAACTACAAACCAATATGCAAAAACTATTTTTTTGCTGTAATTCTAATAAAACAGATGACCAAAACACAAAAGGAGAATAATATGAAGTTTTAGATAGTGTACACATTTAAGGATACTAATGATTTTGAAATTATGCAAAGCGTTTTTCTTCGACAAATAAAAGTTAAGTAATTATATTATATTTACTTTGAGGTAGGTACAAGTAAAATATTAATAACTCACTACAGTATTACAACATTTCACATAGATGTGTTGTAAGTTGTTACTGTTAAGAATTATAACTTATCGTTATTAGCGGTGCATTAAAAAACATGTTAAATTTATTAAAATTAATTCACTAAAAATAATTATCATAATGTTATAGCCGTAATAGGTAGGTATTGTTAATCAATAAACTAATAAAATAAAATAATATTCAATTTATGTAAATTAATACATTATAATATTCATGTACAACTTTATTCGCAGAAGTTATTTATATTATAATACCCAGTGGATCACAATAATATTATTAATATGTATCATATGAAATACACATTGTTCCAAAACAATTAAGTATTTTTAGTAAAAATGCTAGCTCCATAACCCCATCAGCAATCACTTTAAATTAGAAAAACATTAAAAATCATCATTCGTCAATATATTGGACATTGGTTGTAATGTATTTATGGAAAGTTATTCTCAACAATACAATAAGCACGTGCCACAAGAAGAGGATGTTAGCACGATATTTGTTTTTTATCTCCGACCCACGCGGCCACGCGCAACATATCCAATTTGCGTTGAGCAGAACCGATCTTGTTATGTTAGCTTTAATATTATTATTATAGAAGCAATTGACCTGTTATCAAATCCTAAATTAAAAAGATTATCTGTGTTTAAAAAGTGGCTTTTTTATGACACTTGATTTTTTTACGATATATGATCATTTTTTAAATCGTAATATTTTACATATACCCATAACAACATAACTTGCACACACGTTATTAAAGCATCATAAAAAACTAACGTACAAACACAGATAATAATTATAACCTTAACTTTATATTTTATAATACGCCAATTCACATTTCAGTATTTCACTCAAACAACACAAGATTGCTGATTGGTTCTACTGAACGTAAAATTGATGTGTTTTGCGTAGGTCAGAGGGAGAAAACAAATAGTGAGCTGGCATCCTCAGATCCTCTTGAGATCCTCTTATATCCCGCGAAAAACAGTTTTTGCAATGTTGCACGACGGAGACAACATAATAAGTAGGTGTGACGTCCTCTAAATAGTTGTATCTAAATAATTCTAAATGAAATATTAATATATAGTTATATATATTATTATTATATTAGTTAAAATATAGTTATTTATAACTAACTTAAAATAAATAATATTATACCTGTTAACTAAATGAGATGGTGTCTGATGAGTGGCTATGTGATGTACTGATGCGTCTTCGACGTCGGTCAAAAGAAAAGTGATTTAGGGTCTAGAGTCTAGATAAAATAATGGACAAAAAAATTGTAAATACATGATTGAAAAAATAAAAAAAAACCGTGGATAGTGGTGATTCTTAAATTAAAAATACCGAAGCACCTAATCCACGTATCATTATCGAAAGGACAAATTATTACTACTATAATATACCTACATAATACTGTGTGGGAGTAATATTGTAAAATGGTTAAGATATTAATTGAAACATGAAATATAAGATAAGAAAATTAAAATTGTTAAAAACTGTTCAGTGTCTATTTAAGTGTTAAATGTTAATTTTATTTCACTTAAGTGAAATACCTACATATTTTATTCCCATTGCTACAACTAAAGAAAAAATCATTTATTTTCAGGGGAATAGCAAATAATACGCGACTTTATATGGACTTGGGGCATAATCAGAGAGAAGAGAAAAATAATTTCAGTATTTTAGTGAGTGTGAATTATTTTTATATACCAAAACGCGTACAAACGACGCTTTGAACTGTTTCAAACGATTTACATTTTATTGAATTAAGTTGATAATATTTTTATAAATTTATAATAATAAAATTATGTATTTCACACAACTCAAACACGACAATAAAAATAAAAAGGAAACCAAAAGTTTTGGCGGTCAATGTCAAACCGCTTTGATATCATATGTTGGTATAATTTATAGTCGTTAACACACAAGTAAATTATGAAAATCGTAAAAAATGACTACTTATTTAAATTTATTATTTATTAATAACTGTTACTAGAAACCACCGTGCATCAACCAACAAGAATACAATGATCTAATAATGGATATTTGGTTACGGATTCCATCGATCAGGCAGAATAATAAAATAATGTAGATCACACTCTGAAAACGAGACGTGCCATTTTGTCATGTAAACCACATTAAAATATTAAACCACACAAATTGAGCAACAATGCGTATGCGCACATTAATTGCGTACGTATATGAGGACGTCCGTTTTTTCCAGTTAACACAAACAACGGCTGTGTAGATTACCCTTCATCTATTTCCCGTCCACATAGGCTGTCACGAAAAAAAAACATTACTTCCGATCGTATAATATATTATATTATTAAATTACTACTGAATGGACCACGTGCACATCCAAGGACCCACCCAAAAAACCCAAGGTATAATATCCAAAAACGAAAACAATACAGATTTTTTCGGCAATAAAAAAAAAACACCTTATGACTTCTGAAAATGTTGAAAACGAAAAAAAATTACAAGGTTGGTGACTTTTTTCCCGATTCTTAAAAAAAAATGTAATGTTATTCCCAATAAAATTTCGTCAATACGGTTCGGCAAATACGACAGCAAATCAAGTAAGTAATAAAGTCACAGAATTGAACAGTCGCATTATTTAATTACGGAACACCTTCATATTACGAGCAACTGCCACACGTATTTAGGTGAAAGCTAATAACTATTCAATATCACCAATAAGTGCAACAACATTATTAAACACACGCGACAGAAAATATACAAGGATTAACGAATCAGAGCAAATTCTTCAATATTAATTTTTGTTTAGCGTGTTTATGAACTTATATAATAATTAACTGTTTTATACAGTAGGTATGTAGTATTATGTACCCAACTAATATAATTTAATATGCTATAAGTTATATTATAATCATTATGCATTTAAAATAGTCATCACTCATCAACATACTTCAAGACGGACTAAAATATGACACTCGGAAACTTCAAAATAAAATAATTTTGATCATAATATAAATTACCTAATACCTGTAATATATTAAGAAAAAACGCGTTCTACATAATATCCTACATATAATCTTACATAATATACCATTAGTACCCATACACAATGTTTATATTGTAAACACACTATATACGTACCTAGTCACACAGCGTATACTAAATATTTTGTAAGGAATATTTTAAAAACTGAATTCATATTCAATGAAATAAACCTTCTTTTCTCCAAAAGAATTCGGTAAAATATTTAAAATAGAACACTGTTATAAAACTGATCCATAGATATTTTCTTTGATGGAAAAAAACCAAATCAAGCAAATTAGCTGCTAAATTGAACTAATATTCATAAATTGATAACAACTCATAAGAAAATAACAATCATAATCATAAATAAAATTGAATATCTACCCTCCCCCCATATTGCCTATTGTATATGTATTCTTGTTTGTTCTAACTAAAAAATAACTAAATATTAAACCTCCTGATAAAATATCAATAATTAATCACTAAAAATAAATATCAACGAGTATAATCATTTAAATTTTAAATTATATTTTAAATGAATAGGTAGTCATTTGTCTAGAAATCGTATTATACACGTATCACTATTGGTAAATACAGTTTATAATTGATGATATCACGAAGAACTGATATATTAAAATGTAATTGCAATGTTAAATTGATAAATTGTATTATGTTATAGATCGTCATTGTTTGTTAGATCAAAACATTCGTTACGAATGATTTGTATTTTATATAAAATAAATAAACTATTAACTATCTAAAATCTGAATAAATCAGAAAAATAATTTGATTTCACAATTTTTTTCTTTGAGCCTAAGGACTAAATATTCGTTATTTAAATAACCTATTAATGATGAATGATGATTAATGCAAAACATTAGAAAAATCCTAATACATTATTATTACTAGTTTGTAGATTAAATCTTGGTTTAATTTAATTTAACTGTTTAGTGCAAGACGTGTGGACAGAATAATATTAATTTACTCTGATACCTTTATAATTTATACATGTTCAAAACTTCTACTAATTAATAAACTCCATTAATTTTTAAATTTTCGTTATAAATAATATAATATTAGTTATCTTATTATAAGACAAAATTTTAATCATGTAAGTTTTACATTTATCTGATGACTGGTGATTAAATATGTATCTGATACCGGTAAAATATATTGGTGAAAATATAAACATTGGTACAACAAAAGTACTAAGTATTAAATCACAAAATGATTAGGTCTAATAATTAGGGTGACCAATGACATTTTTAACGAAATCGTCGTGAGCCTTGACAATGATATGGTTTTATGGTCAATTAGAAATCCCCCATTTTGGTAATTTTTACAAACAATTACCTAATTTGTATTATTTTTTATTTTTGCTATAAACTCAGATGTATACCATCGAGTAACCTACACCATGGGTATAAAATATGATATATTGTGGACTGTAGTATTATATTAGATCTTATACTAGTAACTACTAAATATAGTAAGAATATTATTTCAAATCGATAAACTATTCATTATTATAAATACATGTAATACTTGAACAGACATGATATTATTATTAAAATATTATTACAGTAGACGTTTTCTTTTCCGGGAGTTCTGAAAATGAAATTCTTTGAATATAATATTAAACACGACGAAAGATATTATATTTAAACCGATCCTGCCGGTATGCGGAATTCGTTATTAAATAACATAATGTTTAAATTATCAAGGCATTGTGCGAAGGTAGTTCAAGGTATTCGAGTCGAATGCATCTCCACCAAAGAACAAATTTCCACGAACGATGTGTACATAATATTATTATTAAAATGGTAGCAGGCGTATGGTTACCAAAATTCGACTGTACATTTGGTATTTTGGTTCATGATAAATATAAATTGTTACACGATTACGATTTACAATTTAACATTCCAATAACTGGCTTGGAACAATGTGATTTTTCTAGCCGTTCGACAAAAAACCAAAAACAATACCCTCTAACAACAACAATTCCCCACAAGTATTTCTTCTATGAGGTCCTACTCACAGCGACAGCCACACCCACACGCATAATATAATATATTAATATCAAGTATAATATAGTTCGAGCGAAGAATGGATACTGTTGCGCCGCAGTGCACCACCTGTTGCTTATCAGATTTCGAACGCGACCGGCCCCGAAGACTCACACCATTTGGTATTCAGGTTAATCCAACAGAACGTCCAATATAAATAATATTAACGTGAATAAAACACTAACATTTCGAAACGAAATACTTGAACTTTAAAGTCATATTATATTGACATTGGCAGAACTTGGGGCCAAACCTAAGACTTGTCTCAATTTTAATAATTTTGTATCCGGCAACTACATGTCTTATATTATTAAGAATTATAAAAAGGATCAACTACATTGATATATTCCCTATCAGCTTGTTCCCACGACCCCAACACATTTGACTCATGGAAATTGCTCAGTTTAAAAACAACTCATGCTCTAAACGATAGGTATGCGTCAGTCACCAGAGTATAAATTATGTTGGGTAATGCAACTAGCGAAAGAATAGCAGACCCTAACGGACTTGATTTACTTAGCACGATTATACTTTTAAAAAACTAAAAACAACTAGTAAATTTTCTACGTAAATAAGAAGTATCGCATTATTATTGATTCTGAATATTTGTATTGAAGCAAAAAAATGAAAATAAAAATATTCATCCGATGGCAGGCTACTGGAAGCTACTGGGCAGCTACTGGAAATTTAGATCGATGTAATTTGTATTATGGGAGATACAATTTATACATGGTTACAGAATGAAAAAGTTAATTTTTTAACCAATGTTATAAAAAAAATAGGTAATAAATTATTCCCCATTGCCAACAAAATAACATTAGCGGCAATCTAACCATAACAGTCACCACTAACCACAGCTTACGGAAAAAACGTTATTTTAATAAGCTTCAGGCTAATTGAAAATATTTACAATAAAAAAACTCTTATTAGACACAAAAAATGCGGGCGTGGCATCCCTAAGTCTTACAGTGTTATTAATGACCGTGATCTTGCAGATATTTACAGACTTCGACGACGCGCCCGAACACCTTTACCCTACGAGAACGAGGACGTAATGCGACGCAGTATTCGTGTTTTAGTGGTGATCGCACAACACGAAAAACCACGCTGTAAACATCGATAATCTGTGCACACTGTACGATAACGGAACATCCTCGTTGACTAAAATGGAAAAAAATCGAATAATACAACATTCACTGTTATTATATTATCATTGTTTATAATTGTTATGGGGTTTTTTTAACCGTGAAAATTATATTATTTTATGATAATTATTATGAATAGAGGTATACAAACAACAAAAAAAATAAAATAAAAACCACCGGCATCATACCGGAACATATAATATCTGACTTTAACGACTAGGTGTACTACACGTGTGCGAGCGATAATTGGTTTGTGGCCGACGGATTTGTTTGTTTGTTGGTTTGTTTTTTTTATCTGGTGCACGCCAGACACGAAAACGGGTTACCGCGGCCGAAAAACATTATAGAAGCATATAACATCAACCACGGTTGTCGATGTCAAATGTCAATCGGTAATAATATTTTCGTACTACGGATTTTCAGTATTTAGTGAGTAGGTAGGCAGGTTGCACACCGCCTTCGCCGCGTATTGTAGTGAACACACCTTTACGTAGACCTTCTTGTCCCTGCATATAACGTTTAGTCCGTTTAGAGGAGGGTGTCGGATTACAAGAATTTTGAACCGTAGCGACGCACAACAACAACAACAATAATAAACTGCGTCGTAAATATTATTATTATTATTATTATTATTTGTCGTCTCGGAGGATCCTTCTCGTTCGCGTCTCCTCCAATGGCGTGGTTTCGGGTCTCACACACACATCGTCGTACATTGTACAATCACTATAATCGCTTTACGCGGCAGTACTCGTGTTTCTGCACGATCTATTTTCAAATCGACCGGGTTTTTAGTGTGACAAATGTCAATTTTTGACTTCTTATCGGCCGATTGACTCGGGTAGAACCTATCGCAGAGTAGGGTCAATTGCTTTAGTTTTTTAAACAGACGATAATAATATTATTATTATTACTCAGAAAAACATGAAATGAAAATGTCGATTTTATTATTATCGTAGACACCTACTACTTACTGTGATGCATCTTGACAAGTAACATAAGTATTCATTTTAAACGATTATAATAGTAATAGTATACTTAGTTGGGACTTTGAGACCCGATTTTCTAAGAAAAACCGCACTATTAGGTTGTATACGTATTATAATATTATATAGGGGGAGAGTAAATAATACGAACAAATCTCTTCTACAATACATCTTAGAAGCATGTACCCTAAGTAAAAATGTAGGACTAAAATTTCATACCCTTATTGTTTTAACCAATTTAACACTTTTCCTGAAGTCCATTAGGAATATTGGACATTCGAGAGCCTTATGTACATTTGCTCAAGGTTAAAACATCAAATAAAAAATTTATATTTCGTCCACAAAAATCAACAAAACCTAATTGTTGGTGTAAGTATGTAACATAAAAACGCAACAGCGTAACTATTTTTTTTAATCAACCCAACGTTTTCAGGGCACATGACGGGTTGACATACGACAACAAACCGTTAATCTTGAATTACATAGGTGTACATATCGACGAACTCAAAACGTGGTCAAAATATTATCGTTTAAGGATCAAGAAAGTAATTTAAAAAATCCAATCTACAACTTAAAAAAGAAAACAGACTACCTGCTTGTGTTAATAATTATTATTACTAGACCGGTTAAAAACTCGCATTTGGGATTCTCACCGTTTTCATTCGACGACATAATGGAATTGATTCCGTATCACAGTACACCATTAATTGTACATGGTGCTATTATCCTTGCCCGTTACTCAATTGTTATGAGGATATTTCGTGAATGAACCGAACACCGGACAACGAGACTTCACATATTTTTCACGATATAATATTATTACGTCGAATTGGAAACAACCACCTTAATACCTAATATGAAAACATCTGTTGTGTTTTTCAATTTTGTTCAATAATGCATTTCTAAAAAGACAGTGGCAGAATGATTATAATGTAAAACCTATATTCCACGGGCATACAAATAACGCGACAGCCCGTAACGACTACGACTGTAGTAGTAACTGACTACTGGCACAAAAACGAACGTCGTTATCAATCGCATTCTCGGCGAACATCGTTAATCGCTCTTTATCAGCAGCTGGTCTCGTTAAAAAGAAATAAAACCACAGTGGACCTCAAACGCACGTAGTTACTTGTTATAATAATAATGTGTAATTTACTAATGTTAGGTTAACGCTGGTTGTAGGCTGTTACTTGTTGTTACCCATAATATTATTGTGCGCTACATTTTTCGAGCGGGTCAGAGCATTGCGGCTGACGGCTGTAGAGGTTAAGACAACCGCGGCGTCGAGTGTGCGAGTCGTACGCTTTGGGAGTCAGATAAGAACGGAATGAAAACGAAAATTAAAATAATCGTAATAATAAAAAAAATTTTTAAAAAAATGGTCAAGTAATTTCGCGAAGCTGTTGACGATTGTCATTCAATACAAATATGACATCGAATAAACAATTAGGTGGTGACTATTGTTGGGTTGGGGAGAAAACACGACCTTGGAAATCGTGTCCTTGAACGCGGTATAAGATGTGTTGTCCTTGGACCACGACTACGACTACTCTGGATATCACACACGAGAGCGCGCGCACGCACAGACACACACACACGAATACACGACTCACACACTTAGGAGCCGTCAGATTATTACACTGTGTGATGATCATCAACAAGACGTAGATCGTGTACAGTGTACACGGCTGGTGCCGTTGGTGGTGTGTTTTGTTTAAAAAATAATATTATTACACCGGTCGTGTTTTCCCCATAAAAAAAAACCGAACGGGACGACTCCCGACGCTAGACGACCACTTGTTATGTAACACTACGGATGTTTTACGATTTTTTTTTATCTTCCTAAATTTACCAGTGCACTGTCGAAGTCCTCCTCCTCCTTCTTGGCGGTGGTGGCGGCGGCTGCGGCACACTTGCGTGCACGGTGCACCACACACAAACACGACAATCGAACGCACGCACGCGCAAGAGTAGACGAAACAAAATATTATATAAAATAATTTAATATATAAACAAAAGAAATGAAATAACAATATTATTGTTAAAGTTCGAGCAAGACGGACGGGAACAACGGCGCACCACTTACACTCGAAACGGAGACGCGGTGAAAAAAATGTTTCGCCAGATTTTTTGGCAATAACGTTCACACTCGCAATGAAGTAATTGACGTTAACCGCTAGGTCCGACGACGACAAACCGACATGTTGGTTTACAATAAACAATAATATAGGAGGTACCTATATTAATGGTTTACAACTATTTACATGAGAAATAAAATACAATGATTATTTCTGTTAAACGGAGCAAATGTCGGAGCTGAATATTTCTATACAACAACGTGGTCGCTACGATTTATTTTACGGTCGGTAAAATAATAATATTATGATGTACACGAACGGGCGGCGCGTGTAGTAAGTGTCCGGACAACCGAGAACGTCGCACTGTGGACGTCTGTGCGTATCGCGACCGCGGGCCACTGTTCCCCACTATTTTTTCGATTAAAAATATTTCGATTATGTGTGCACACGTTTTTTTTCTCCGTTTCTTTTCTCCGTGTAGATCGTTATTTTTTTCATTTCGTGTTTCTTCCGTTTCGGCTCTCACCTCCCGGGTTTCCCCGAAACGGCACATTTGCAGCAGTGCCCCATCGATTTGTAATATTTAATTGTCAATATTGTTCACACCGACCGGACCTGACCTTATCCACCTTCTCCCGTCGATCTGAAACCCTCGGGATCTCGCGCCATCGTCGTTGTCGTCGTTGTTGTTGTTGTTGTTGTTGTCATTGTTGTTATTATAGTATACAGATTTGCCGCCGCATACCGAGAAATTGGCGAAGAGGGGGTAGAAAAAATCGAAAAGATCGAAAAGGGACAGCTAGAGACTAGAGTACTCGGTAGTCGGTACAGCTGTCGGAATTACACACGCATTCTTTGACATAAATTACTAGCAAATTGCAATGTATAATATTTATTCTAGTCCTACGGTGCTAAATAATATACATTTATAATACATATTATACAAAATAAAATATATTATATTTTGTACCTATTATTGATAATGGTATTATGGCAATCATTATCGTTATAAAACGATTTATGTTCACACTACAATATTTTAAAGCAAATGTTTAGATTACATATGAACATTGTATTTAACTGATAGGACATTGGCCTGCTAATCTATAACGCGGAAAAATGTTTATTTTAGTTTTAAAAGAAAATTATGTGATAAATCTAAATAGAAAATAAGTTAGTATTATATTATAATACTATATTATTACTATAATTATATATCATATATATTGTACTATTGTTTTATTCACGAGGATTGAAAAAAGTATAATGACACGAATACACGATATTTTATGAATGATGACTTATAAATAACAATTACCCTTAATTTGTTTTAAACTTTTAAACAGGGTATTTTATTCTTTAATTATGTAATAACTATGGCTAGGATTTATATGCAATAACAAATTGTAAAATATGCATTTTATTTACCAAAATATGCAAAAATATTCAAAAACAAATTTTTATTATTTCTAGATATATATTTTTATCAAAATTCATAATTTACTATTATTACATTAAATATAAGTTTATATTATTACACGTTACTATGACATGTTACTATGACATATTGTTTCAAATTTTCAAATACGAACGACCGGCGATTTGAACGTAGAATAGATTTATACTGACTAAAACTCCTTACCACATCACACGAGGTTATTGGTGCATATTTAAATGACGCTATTTTTCATGGAGTTAGATTAATATTAATATCTTCTTCTTCATTTTCATATTCACCGTTTATAATTCTATGAATTGTTAATAGTTTTTTAAATTCCTTTTTTTTTTAGTATAAAATCCATTTTAGTTTTTACCAATTCTGCTGGTCTCCCGTTACATTTATTCAGTTTATCTTTTACATTTAAAATAAATGTGTACTATATATTTACAATTCGACGGATAAACCAAAAAATATCTGTATTATGAAATAAACGCCATTTAAAATTAACATAATTCATAAAAATTTAAAAATTTAAGTTAAAAAAATAAAAAACTCAAAAACCTATAAATATGCAATTATATGCATTTGTGTTCAAAATATGCGAAAATATGCAAAAAAAAAATTGGTTCTATTTAAATGAGAATAAGCCAAATCGTGGAAAAATCTGACAACCAATCAATTTGGACTTAAGGAAAAAAACATGCAAATGCATATAAATCCTAGCCCTAGTAATAACTATAGCCCATATCAATTGAAATAAAGTAATGTAATGACTATGGGCTCAACTCTATTATAAATTATGTATGTTTAATAAAATAAATGAACTAATGGCATTTGTAATCGACGTGTCTAAAATTTTTAAATTATCGAATTACATATAGCTTATAAAACTTATAACGACATCCCAACATTCGTGTAATAGGTACAATTATAATTTAAATACAGATTTCAAATATCAAGACTTGTCAGTTTACAATACATTGTAGTATCGCATACAACATTATAATAGGCGTGACTTCTAGTGAAGCGCCGGCTTCCACTGCGGAAACTTGCTCCCCCCATAATTCATACATTTATCATGGATATTAGTTAATAGTTATTAGTAATAACTTATTAGTTATTATCATAACCATAAATCATTATTTATAATATCTGTACAAAATTTGTAGATGAGATTTGTATTGCACTCTAGCCTGTAGTCTATAGTATAGGTAATCTAACATATAATACCTATGTATTGATTATAAGGATTTGGTCTCGAACGACTTTAAATCGTAATTTATTTAAACAGATAATTTTTGACTTTCACTCAAAAAAAATATTTCCCCGAGTGCCCACATAATTTTCAACTATCAAAGTATGCATTATACATTAAAACAAAAAAATGTGCCATTTAAATACCAAAATATGAAAATATTTATGAATATGCATTACAAATTTTAGTTATTACATTTTGGTCAACGACGTTGTGAATTGTATTTTTTACATACATGACGTAAAAATAGCATAAATAATCAATATTAATAACTAATAAGATATAATAAGAACAACCAAGAAACATACACAAATGCATAAATATAAAGGATTGAATAAAACCTGCCACTGCCATAATTCCCTTAATGGTCACACCCTTGATATAACATTTTTAGAATACGTATAACACAAAATTAAAAAACCATGTGCAGTATGCTTATAAAGTTAGAAATAATATAATACTATGTATTTAAATAAGTATCAAATTTAATTAATATATACTTAAGCCCACCTAGAAGTTACTACAGGTAGATCATCATTCATTGCATTAAATTACTTTAGGAATACAAAATAAAAAAACTGTGAAGAAGTGAGAAAAGTGAAATAGGTTCTCATAAAACAAGCATAAATAAAAATAATTATTTAATAAAACCCACCGTTTGGTACGGTAGTTTAAGCATTTACGATACATATATTTTTTATTTAGTTGTCCCAAAAATTGCTAGATTCTTCAAATTTGTGTAGTTTAAGGTTTTTTTATATTTTTTATGTATATATTTATAAGGAAAATTGTATTTTAGGTACAGTGTACAGCAATATTAAGAATTTTTTTTAAATTGTATTCTTTTATATTGATGTACCTATTGCGTTTGTGTCAATATTTATTCATTGATAAAAAAGTCAGCTTGAAAATAGAATGGATATCACTTTGAAAGTATAAAAATTCAATCGTATTGATGCTGGAAAGTCTATAAGCAAAAATATTGTTTTAGTCCCAACTCCCGACAAGCCTGCCAGGGATAGCTGTTGTTTGTTTTTATTTAAAATTCCAAAATTCTTTTTGTTTAACTGCATGCTTTAGATAAATATAACAATAATCATATTAAGGGTGATGAAAGCATTTCTTTATTTTTGTTATCCAATGGTGTCAAATTGGGGGTTGTCACATTATAGAAGAGGATCACCAAAAATTAACTGGTGCTTAGATGGGGGGAGGTGAAATACTTATCATAAAATGTTTAGTGTCATTGTGCTAAATAGGTTAGGCACCACTGGTCTAATGCACTCTTATAATATGAACAATTATTATTTATTTAGATATGTAAATGTGTTATATTTCCAACATATCGATGAATCTAGTATAGCGATAAGAATTCAGTAAACAAAAATTTGAATTTGTCATGAGAATTTAACAAGTAGAAACTTGTATCGATTTTTCACATAGTACATACATTTTTTAGTTCCTATTTTTTTATATAAGTTTTATGGGATTTAAGTGAATACAATAAAAACTGTTGGAAAGTCTATCTTATAAGTATATAGGCTTGATGAAAAATGTTTAATTCATTTTCAGAATTCTTATCGATAACTAGGTTCATCTGTACGTTGTAATAAGAGAAAATATCTAAATTCTTATATTACACATTTCAACAGTCAACACTTGACAAATCAATTAAATAACCGGTGTCAATCCCATTAATTCGATTTCCTATCTTTTTGACCTTCTGTAAAATATTTTTTAAAACGTTAAACAATTTGTAAATGCTTGTTTTAGTGATTTCAAGTGCATATTTCCGTAGTTTTATACATGACGAATTATAATATGTTTAATGTGTATGTATAAGTGCATGATCTTCCCACGACTTATTCGTAATAAACAAATATTGGTAAAAACTAAATGGTAATATATTATGCGTATTAATTATAATTATTGTCATGAGTAAATTCAATTATACATCAGCATTCTTAGAGTAGGTAAATGTAAATGAATTGTGATGTATTTACTAAATAAAAATAGGGAATTGAGTTAATTATAATCAGTTTAACGCTAATGCACGAATTAATAGTTAAAATAACCAGAGCCCCTGCGTATCTTTTTAAGTTGGGTTATTCAAATATTTTTCTGTTTAAAATGCCAGTTAAGGTCAGTTGTAACATTTCTGGGACTGATTCGAAATTCATACTTTGGATACTTGGCCATTCCAAAAATATTGAAATACCAACTATCACATTGCCCATGGTACCTGTGTTTTGGTAAAAATGCCGAAAATCCCCTCTACTTTATTATTTTTTGAATTCATGAGGATGAATTATTTAAGTTTAAATTGTTTCAATAATACATATACCATTATTCTATTATTCAACAATTTACAATACATTTTATTATTTTTAATATTCGAACACGTCACTATTATTGTTTTTTGAATTCATAAATCTGAATTTCATTTTGTGCTACAATCACACATATAAAATATTATTAAGCAATATAGGTTCACTAGTATATCACTATATTATAGATTAAATATGACTGTTTGAATAATTTTTTTAAATTAGGATTAATTTAACTACCTTTAATTTTTATAAACTGCTACTCCTATATGTTTTTTTCAGTATTTAATACCTTTTTATGAAGAATTATTTTGTTGAAATTATAGAGCATAGAAAC